TCCTCCTCCTTCTTCTTCTTCTTCTTTTTTTTTTGGTCTTTTTGAGACAGGATCTCCCTGTAGCTCCAGATACCTGGAACTCACTCTGTAGACCAGGCTGGCTTCTAACTCACAGTGAATCTGCCTGCCTCTGCCTCCCGAGTGCTGGGATTAAAGGCGTGCGTCTTTTTGAATAATTTAAGAAGTTGTATATTTACTTTGAACGTTTGGCAGAATTCTGCTGTGAATCCATCTGGGCTTGGGCTTTTTTTAGTTGGGAGGTTTTGTATTACTGTTTCAATTTCCTTATTTGTTATGATTCTGTTTAGGTTGTTGATCTCCTCTTGGTTTAACTTTGGTGGTAGCCATAATTTTAGCAATTCATCCATTTCTTTTAAATTTTTAAATTTAATGGTGTATAGATTTTTTTCCAGTTTTTAAGACTTTTTTTAATGGTACAACAAAACGAGTTCAGGGGCTTTTGTCTGAATAAAGGATTCTGCAATCTTTCCCACATCAGATAAGATTCTCGGCAGGGACTCATTCATGTTTATCACAGGGACTCTCTTTCATGTTTGTTGTTTCTAATTCCCAAGTCCTTGACATCTAGTATTTTCACTTCTAGGTAGGAGAAAATGCATTTTGTTCCATTAATTCTCCTACTCATTCATGGAGGATATTCACCAGCTCTGCAATTCCAAAGACGTGTGTGTCATCAATGTCATGAATGATGAACTTCTTCCCCAGGGCATTGGACTCATCCAAGTATAGCAGAAACTGCTTTATGGCAGGATCGCATTCTATAAGCACTCCTTTCAAGATGTTGACCATCTTTTCCCAGGCAAAATGTGCAGATGACTTCAAGAATGTTTTCCCGGCAGCTCAGAGCCTCTGGCCACACTCCTCTGCCCACCTGGTGTAGAGATTTTTAAAGTATTCCCTTATAATATTTTGGATTTTTTTGGTGTCTGTTGTGATGTTTCCCTTTTCACCTCTGATTTTGTTAATTTGGATTTGTTCTTTCTTTCTTTTGGTTAACTGGGCTAAGGGTCTATCTATCTTGTTTAATCTTTCAAAGAACCAGCTCTTAGATTCATTAATTTTTTGCATTACTTTTTTTGTTTCTATTTCATTAATTTATGTTGAGTTTTGTTATTTCTTCTCGCCTGCTAGGTTTGGGTTGGTTTGTTCTAGGCTTTCCAGAGTCTTGAGTTGTATTGTCAAGTGGTTATATGTCCTCTTTCTGATTTTTAATGTAGGCACTAAGAGCTATAAACTTACCTCTTAGGACTGCTTTTAGGGTGTCCCAGAGATTTTGTCATGTTGTGTTCTTGTTTTCATTTTGTTCCAGGAATACTTTCATTTCTTTCTTAATTTCTTCTTTGACCCATTCATGATTCAGGAGTTTGTTGTTTAAGCTCCATGAGTTTGTATATTTACTAGAGCTTCTTTTGCTGTTGATTATAAGCTTTATTGCACTGTTCTCTGATAGAAGGCATGGAATTATTTCAATTTTTTGTATTTGTTTAAATTTGTTTTATGTCCCAGAATATGGTCAATTTTAGAATAAGTTGCATGAGCTGCTAAGTGTATTCTTTGGTGGACTATTTTGCATATATCTGTTAGGTTCATTGGCTATAGTATGCCATTTAATTCACATGTGTCTCTGTTTATTCTTTGTCCAGTTGACCTGTCTATTGAAGAAAGTAGGGTACTGAAGTTGCCCACTGTCACTGAGCATGTGCCAATCTCTGTTTCATAGTCCTGGACTACTGATTTTATGAAATTGGGTGCTCCAGAGTTTGGTGCATAAATGTTCATGATTGTAATATCTTCTTGGTCAATTGTTCCTTTGATTAGAATGAAGTAACCCTCCTTATCTCTTCTGTTGAGTTTTAATTTGAAGTCTATTTTTTCAGATATTGAAATTGCAGCACCTGCTTGCTTCTTGGGGCCATTTGCTTGGAATATTTTTTTCCATCCTTTCACTCTAGATAGTGTCTATCCTTGAAAGTGAGATGAGTTTCTTGAAGACAACAAAAAGATGGTCTTTTTTCTTGATCCATTGCACCAGCCTGTGTCTTTTGACAGGGGAGTTGAGGGCATTGATATTTAGAGTTATTATTGAAAGGTGTGGATTGTGTACTGCCATTTTAATTTCTTTGTGTTTGTGACCCTATTTTGTGTTTCCACTGTTATACCTTTATTTTCTTTCTGTAGTGTTTTGGGCATACTCATTTCTTCAGTCCTTTATATTGCTTCAAGTATTCTCTGTATTGCTGGTTTGGAAGACATGAATTCTTTCAGCCTATTTGTGTCATGGAAAATTTTCTCTTCCCCTTTGACCTTGATAGATAGTTTTGCTGGATAAAGTATTTGGGGTTGGCATCCATGGTTGTCTAGAACTGGGAATATTTTGTTTCAGGCTTTTCTGGCTTTCATAGTTTGCATCGAAAAGTCAACTGTAGTTCTGATGGCTTTTCCTTTATATGTAACTTGTTTTTCTCTAGCAGCTTTCAGTACTCTCTCTTTGTTCTGTACATATAATGTTTTTACTATAATATGTCTGATCATGTCTTAAAGGTGTTCTCTGTGCTTCTTGAATTTCTGTAGGTATGTCTTTCCTTAATTTAGGGAAGTTTCCTTCTATAATCCTATTGACGATCTGTTTGATGCCATTGGTTTGATTTTTCTCTCCTTCCCGTATGCCCATAATACGTAGATTTTGTCATTTTGTGTTGTCCCACATTTCTTGAGTATTCCATTCCTGTGATTCTTTTGAATTTTGCATAGTCTTTACTTAAGGAGTCCAGATCTTCAATTTTATCCTCTAGTCTTGATAGTCTGTTTTCCATTTCATTCATTCTGCTTGTGAGATATTTCTCCTGTTGTTTCTACAGTTTTTTTTTGTTTGTTTTGAGACAGAGTCTCCCTGTAGCCCCAGTTGGGCTGGAACTCAGTATGTAGACCAGACTGGCCTCTACCTCCCGAGTGCTGGAATTAAAGGCATGCACCACCGTGCTTGGCTTGTTTCTACTTGTTTTATTGAGGCTTCTGTCCCGTGTTCATTTCCATTTGGGTTTTCTTCACTATTTCTATCTCTAGTGAATTTGCTTTTCAAATTATGAATTGTTTTTGATATTTCATTAAGCCGCATATTTGTATATTATTGAGCTTCCACCAAAAGTTTATGCCTTTCCTCTTTGAGTTGTTTGTGTTTTCTTGTAATTCTTTGATCATGTTTATTATTGTTCTTTTAAATTATGTGTCCTGGGGTTCTACAGAGTGGTTCTCAATGTTCTGCACTTCTGTAGAACTTGTGAGGACATATTTTCCTGGTTTTTCATATTGTATGTGTTTTTGTGTTGCTGTCTGAGCATATTGATGTTCTTTTTTGGTTATGTGTTCAATGTGAACTTCTACTCTGCTTTTGTTTAATTTAATTTTGGTTCAGAGTCCTGGCTGAACGGGTCTGTCTGCCTGATCTATGGCAGGGTGATGGTTAATCTGATTTGGGAAGGTAGTCCAAGGATTTGGAGTTAAGGAATAAGAGCCAGCCTGTGATAGAGCCCTTCAGGGATAGAGATGAGAGGAATGGGGTAGCTAGTCCTTCTCTGGAGAATGGGTTGGAGTTGAATCTGGGCCTGCCTGTGAGAGAGGCAGGCAGGGGACAGGGTAGGGGTGGAGCCCACCTGTGAGAGAGGCTAGCAGGGGGCAGAATGTAGGTGGATGAGAGAAATGGGAGAGGGAGGCAGTGAGCTTGATCCAATTTACCAGAGTCTTGGCTGAACAGGTCTATCTGATCCTGAGGCTGGGGATTTGGCCATGAAGGGGCTGCCTGCCTGAGGATTTAGGGATCTACGGTAGGGTGGGTGGTTAATCTGGTTTGGGAAGGAAGTCCAGGGATTTGGGGTTAAGGAGTAAGAGCCAGCCTGTGACAGAGGCCTGCAGGGACAGTGATGAAAGAAGAGTTGGCAATCTTGACTGTATAAAAACATCCTGTGCTGAGCATGGTACACATGGCTCTTGATCACAGCACTCAGGAGACTGATTTTCTCTCTGTATCATGATGAGGAGGCCATCTTGGGCTATCAAGTGAGACTGTCTAAAAATTCTTATGATCAGTATTATCAACAACAATAAAAACATCCCAGTGGAATATAGACACTTATAAAGGAGGAACTAATAGTGACTGAAGAGAGATTCTGAGTGTTATAAATAAAAACCAAGGTCCGAGGACCCCATCAATACTGCTCAAATGTGAAAGTAACTCAGCAAGGCAGATTTTACTTTTGCATAAGGGTATCTTGTGTGGTAAGTCAGATCCAGCAAGTACACACAATACCCGGAAGCTTGGGGGGCTTTTATCCCTAACTCATGAGAGCTGTATCTTTTCCCCATTGGCTGGGGTCTGACCTCACAGTCTTTCCTGGTTCGCTAGTTTAAAAGAATTGGCACAAAGGGAGATAAGCTCCACCTGGAGCATCATTCCAGGCTGGCAGGCTCAGGAATATGTCAGGGCCTTAAAGAAAAGTCTTTTAGGGTGTGATGTGATTAAAAGATTAGAATTCCTTGTCATAAATCAAGTTCTAATTTTACAGTGTTTGAAAGAAAAGACTAATATCTAATGTTTCTTAAGTGAGGGGACAGGTTCAAAGATTAGGAACAGTACACAGTGGATTGTGTTTTAAGAACCCTGCCACATTGCTACTTCCAGAATACCAAGTGTGATTCTGGGGCATAGAGGGGCAGAGGGACAAAAACTGGGCCAGCTGGCCTCAGCCATCACTTCTTTCAAAGTCCCAGGTTGAATCTACCAAATGCATTTACTATCATTACATTCCTCTCATTGCTTAAAAAAAAAAGAAAACATTTATTAGACAAAAATAACTCATCAACTCTTCCCAGGACCCATGGGGAACATTAATCCTCCTTCTTTGTAGTGTCTCCACCTCTGATCGCGCAGCATGCAAGGTGCTCTATGACTCCCAGTTGCTGTTCTGCAACCGCCTCTATGCTGACCTGGAGACTATTCTGTACCACGTGCACTTGTTCAGGCCTGTGTCCTTGATCCTGCGGTACCCAGTACTCTACGTCCGGGGAGCTGTGCCTCGGAAGGCTTTCCAGGCACTGACAAGGTGGGTGTGGGTGGGACAGGAGGATGTCTCCACAATCTGCAGGTCAGGTGGGCAGGAGGGACAGTCTCCTCCCCGAGGCCAGGTGGGGACAGGAGTGCCCTACACTTCCCAGGCTCCAGGAGAAGCAGATGGAACTAGACTGTGCTAACTGAAAGAGGATTGGCTTCTAGCCTGTGGCTGCAGCTCTGATGGGTTTGCTCCCTCTGGAAATATTCTCAGAAGACCTGAGGAGGAAGTCGCTGGTTAAAATGTAATTTTCGGCCGGGCGTGGTGGCGCAGGCCTTTAATCCCAGCACTTGAGAGGCAGAGGCAGATGGATCTCTGTGAGTTCAAGGCCAGCCTGGTCCACATAGTGAGTTCCAGGACAGCTGGGGCTACAGGGAGACCCTGTCTCAAAAAGACCCCCCCCCAAATGCAATTTCCAGGAAGAACTAGGGATAGGGACTGCAGCATCAGTCACAGCTTTCTTTTTGACCCAGAGTTTTTCCTTTGCCTCTTCCCTGAGTTCCCTCCCTCCCGCCCTCCCTCCCTCCCTCCCTCCACATTTCTGAGAAAGCCTGCTGCCAAGGATCCACTCTTAAAGCAAATGGCCCCGTCACTCTGCTCTGCCTCTTAGCCTTGCTTTTGTTTTAGGTGTCCTGAGGGTTTCACCATCCCTCTACAGACCAGCTTTAGTTAGAGGTGCTGGAACTAGACCCCTCACTGGTGAGAGCACAGTTCAGAAGCAGAGGGTGTAAGGAGCAAGTGCATCAGGGGGCGCTGGATGGCCAGCCAGTGTGTATTACCTGGGGCACAAAGAAGCAGCTGGACATGTGGGGAGGCAGCAAAGACTGACTTTGAGGACTCATTGGTCATCACTTTGCCAGCTCCTCCCAAGTATGGGGCAGGCTATAATCCCAGCTTCCCATTTTTAAAGCCAGTGGGATATCTGGCCCCATGTAGTGCTGTTGAATGTATTAATGGAAGAGAAGTTAGGCGTACAGGGGAGTTAGAAGAGCAGAAGTTCAGAACTCAGGACAGAGAAGACTTTCACTTACTTCTTACTCTTCCCACCAGTTTTGCCCCAGGGGATGAACAAGTAGGTGAATTCTTCCCACACCCCAGGAAGGATCCATGAGGGGTGCTGGAGCATTTAGGTGTCAGCTGCAGAGGCTCAACTGTCTTGGTAGGTGATGGTGGGAATGTAGCTGTACCAAGGAAGGAGAGAGCCGCTGTTTATGAAGTACTTTCTGTCTTTGGTGTTTGTGATGCTTAATCTTGTTCATCAACTTGATGATAGTTATCACCACAGATAATAGACCTCTGGGTGTGTCTATGAGGGTATTTCCAGACATGTTAAGTGAGCATGGAAGACCTAGCCTAAATGTGGGTTACATCACCCCATGAGCTGGGGTCTTGGACTGAATACAAAGGAAAAAAGTGGGCCGAGTACCAATATTTGTTGTTTTCTGCCCCCTCGCTGTGGACATGAAGTGACCAGCTTCCTTGTCATGATGGGCTGTATCCCCTTGAAGTGTAAGCCAAATAAACCCTTGTTCCCTTAAGTTACTTCTTGTTAGGATTTGATCACAGCAATAGGAAAGTAACTACCACAGAAAATTGGTACTGAGAAATGGGGTATTGTCATGATAAACCTGAACATATGGTTCATAGGCCTTTGCAACTGGTTCTAGTGAAGAATGTGGAAGACTTTGGAGCTGGGGACTAGAGAAGACCCAGGATGCCATGAGCAGAGATTAATGACCCAATCTGGTAAGAATTTGCAAGATCAAAATGCAAAGAAAAATAAAGACAGGGGAGGCCTGACTAGTGAGGTTTCAGAAGGAACAACTATCTGGCTGTTTGGATAGAGGCCATTAATGTTATATTCAGGAAAGAATCTGGCTACATTCTGCCAATGTTTTGAGAACTTGAGTAAGCCTGAATTAAAAACTAATGGACTAATTTTTTTTGACAGAGGAAACTTAAAAACAAGCTAGCATTCAGGATGTGTCATGGTTACTGCTTTCTGCTACAGGGGCTGGATAAGTGTGGCTGAAAGATGAAAAACATGCTGTTTGGCGAGGGAAAGGACCTAGTGTTAAGTGGCAGGCAAGGTGACCGAGAGGACAGCTGTGATTGTTAAAGAGATTAGTCCTAGTAAAGAGAAGCTCTGCACTGGCCTCATAGAAAAGGTGCCCTGAGAGTAATCCTCACCCCATGGAAGGTCCATCTTGTAGAAATGTGAATTCATTTGAAAGGAAAGGCTCTAATCTGAGAATGCCACTGCAGGAGTTCCCTACTGGAAAGCAACTCCCTAGGAAAATGTTTCCCAAGAGACAGAAACAGGGGCCTGTGTAGCTATGGTCCAAGGAGGCCAGACTACATCTTGAACTGGCAGTAGAACTTGGCAGCATTGTCCATGTGTTACTGGATTTACAGGTATGAAAGATTTAAGAGTAAGGAAGTCATGGAGGCATGTACTGAAGCTTGTAAAGGCCAGTGAGGCCAGGTAGTATGTGGTAGGGTTGGAGTGCCTACAAGTATATCCTGAAATGCCACTGCATGACACCGTGAAGGTGAAGCCCAAGTTTCGGTGGTTAATATGGGATGTTAGAGATAATAAGACCATAGGACATTAGTTGAAGAAAGCTATAGGCACAGAATGGAGTCTACCCGAGAAAGGCTATGTGTGCTGCTACAGGCAGAACTGAAGGGTTTGGAGCCCAGATGATTCTATCATATATCCCAGAGGCCAGTTATGGAGTGTCAGGATTTGATGTTTGTCCTGTTGGATTTTGGGCTTGCTTTGGTTTGATTTTTCTTTGGTATGTCTCTATTCCTTCTTTTGGTAATGGAAATATTAATCTGTGCTGTTATATATTGGAATTATGTAACTCATTTTTTATTTTAAGGGACTCACACTTAAGAGATTGCCTTGAGTTTCAGAAAAGACTTTGGGTTTTAGATTTTGAATAGTGTTGGGACTATGGACTTTTAGAGTTGGATTGATTGCATTTTGCATTATGAGATGAAATAAGACTTTAGGATCAAGGGGTGGACTGTTATAATGTCAAAGTGATGTGTTTGGCTGTCAAGTTTATGAGGGTTGAACTTGGGATGGTTAATATTGATATCAGCTTGAAGATATTTAGAATCATCAGAGAAACACACCTCTGGGTATGTTTGTGATGGTCTTTCCTGAAAGGTTTAACTGAGCAGGGCGGACCTGCCCTGAGTGTGGGTAGTACCATCCCTTTGACTGGTGTCATGAACTCAATAAAAAGGAAAAATTGAACTGAACATTGGCATTCATCTCCCTCTGCTTCCTGACTGTGGAAGCAATGTGAGCAGCTGCCTCAAGCTGTTACCCTCCAGGCCTTCTCTGCATGATGGATGGTATTCCCTCAAACCATAAGCCAAAATAAACTATTCTACTCAAGTTGCTTTTTGTTAGTAGTGAAAAAAAAAGTGACTAATGCAATGCAATGTTCATGGTGACTATGCCTTTGCTTGGCTCCTAGGTCTACTGCCACCAATAGGGAGTCCTGGGGTTTGGGAGGTAGGATTACCACTCAGGCCTTGAGCTTTGTGAAACAGTGAGCTGTAAGCACATCACCCTCCCTGGTGCAGGAGGACCATCTGCCTGCTGAGGGCTAGCATGTTGGCGTGGCTTCTAGTGGGATGTGGGTTGATGAGGACCATGGATAAAACTACAGTCACAGAAAAGCAGTCAGAGCATAATATGGTGTCCTAGTTTGTTTCTCCATTGCTGTGACAAAACACTATGGCCAATACCAACTTGTGGAGGAAAGGGTTTATTTAGCTTACATATCCCAGGTCACAGTTCATCCGGGAGCCCAAGGTAGGTACTCAGGGCAAGAACCTGGAGGCAGGAATTGGAGCACAGGCCATGGAGGAATGCTGCTTACTGGCTTGCTCCCCTGGCCCCTGCTCAGCCTACTTTCTTATGCAACATAGGCCCACTTGCCCACAGTGGGCTGGGCCCTCCCACATCACTCAACAATCAAGAAGGTGCCCCATGGACATGGACATGGCCACAGGCCAGTCCAATGAAAGCAATTGCCAAATTGAGGCTCCCTCAACCCAGGTGTGTCAAGTTGACACTAAAGCTATCCAGCACATATGGAGAACTCCTAACTTTGAGATGCTCAGAGGAAGAGGGAAGGAGGCATGAGGCAGGAGTCTAGCTTAGCCAACCCAGATTACCTCTTCATTTGTAAGCTATGGACCTGGCAACACCAGTCAACCTAAACTTTCATTACTGATGTGAAATGAGGATGGTTGTACCTCTCTTGAAAGGTAGGTGAGGCCGAATGAGTGGGTATTCTTCATTCTAGGATCTATGACATCTGCCACAACAGCACCAGGCTCAAAGAGGTGATTGTGAGAGACCTGCTACCTTCCTCCTCTATGGTTAAAGACCTAAACCAAGAGTTTGGGGTACCCATTTCCAAGGAGGAACTCATAGATGAAAAGCTGTTGCCCATATTGCCCCAGCCTGCTCCCAATCCTGAGAACGTCAGACATCGGACTTCTGCTCTCACACTGGAGATCAATGCCCACAAGGAGAAGTACGAGCAGTTGCGGAACAACATGTTGCAGAAGAAACAAGACCATAAAGTCAACCTGATCCAGGTGGGTGCTCTCTCTTCCCTCCATGCTAAGGTTCCTAGGACCTACTAGGGCTCCTGTTACCCAATAAGATGTTTATACAGGCCAGGTGCCTCTGGCCTGCTTTTGTTTTTCTGGCCTGGGACATTGAGCTAGACAGGCCAGCAGTGTGGAAGGCAGAGCTGCCATGCCAGAGTATTTGCCTTCAGTCTCAGTTTACTTTGGCTATCCTTCTTGAATACGAGAAAGGGTGCTCTTAGGTATATGACACTTACCACAGACTCAGTGTTCATCTTAGAGGAAGAGCTGTTATGTGTGTAACATCTTGCTTAAGCTTCTAAGGGCATGAGCATCGTAAGTTGTCTATGCAGCATACAAAATAAACTGGCCTGCGTGGGAAAATAAAGAGGAGGTAATAGGAGACTGAGAAGCTGGTGAGGTGATGGAAGGTAAGTGGTATATGGTCTGGATGACTAAGGATACCACCTTAACACCATGCCAGCCCCAAGGACTTGGAAGCATAAACATCTAATTAACTTGAAGCTGTGTTCCCATGATCTGTCTTTGTGAAGCATCCCTCACTCTCTACCTCCACTCCCCACCTCCAGTCGCCAAACCCTTCTTCCCCTACACTATACCATAATTTTCTTATTGGTGGTCATTTGTATTGTATCTTCTTTTGCTACTTAAAAATATATAATTGTAAACATTGGTCAATACATCTTCTGTTAAAAATGTGCATTTTCTAGGCGATACACTTAAGCTTAGAATTGCTGAGTGCTAGTTCCATTGTGTAGATCTTACATTATTTTCCAAAGTGATTATATCAATCTATGCATCTCTATCTTGACTCTCATGGGTAATCCTGTTTTTTTTTTGTATTTCTATGACTATGTGTTGCAGTCTGACTTTTGGATGCTCAATTTCTGATGTTTAATAGTTTTCATGGAGGTTTTAAGATGCACTATTTACTAATGAAGCTGAATATCTCTTCATACATTGGTTTTTTGTCTTAAAATTTCACTAGGAAAATGTTTTATTTCAACAACAAAATAAAAATCATTGTCTTTTAATTGTAAAGGTTATAACCAGTGTAATATATTAATCATTTTAAAACATCACACCATGCCTACTTGATTTCCTTAATGAATCAATCTTTTAATGTGCAATACAGAATCTTGCCTTTTTATTTCTTGTGTCCTGACAACATGGCTTCACTGTAGTCGTCCACTCCCTCTGGCTCTTACAGTCATTCTACTCCCTTTTCCATGATGACCCCTGAGCTTTGTGAGGAGGCGGTGTGATATAGATGTTCCATTTAGGGCTCAGCATGCCACAGTCTCTTATTCTCTGCATGTTGACCAGTTGTGGGTCTCTGCATTAATTGCCACCTACTGCCAGAAGAAGCTTTTTGGGTGAGAGTCGAGAGATGCACTAATCTATGGGTATAACAGTAAGTCATTAGGTGTTAGCTTAATACTATGTTTATTTGCAGAATAATGGTAGTAGGTTCTCTCTTATGACATGTAACCTGTCTAGTCACAAGTTATTGCCCCTGATTACCATGCCACATATGGGCTTCACCTTGTAAAGTGAGCCTTAAAGCCAATCAGATAGTGGTTGGTCACTCTCATAACACTCATGCCACTACCAATCATATTGTAGCTCACAGGATTCACCATTGGGTAAGGTCAATGATTACCTTTCTTTTCTGGTAGCATGCATAGCACCTTCCAGCTTCTATGAAAGCTAGCCAATAGAGATTATGCTTCAAGGTCAGCACTAGCTTGATTTTCCTTATTTGTTCTATGTCTCATATATGTAGTATCTTCAGCAATAATTGGGGTCTTATTGTCATGTTCTGGTGATTAACCAAGAGTAATGGCAATAATTAGCATTATTTGAGGGTCTGTTGACAATGGGGGTGGTCAGCAATTTCAAAGGAGGTTCATTCTTGGCTATGGGCTTTTTATTTTCTAGCCTGTGGTTTCTCGTAGGGCCATTGACCCTTCATTATAGGGCAACTCCATATATATTATTTATTATTAATTTTTATGTGTATGAATGTTTTCCCTGGAGATATGTAGGTGCACCACATGTGTGCAGTGCTTGCAGAGGCCAAAAGATGTGTCAGATCCCCTGGAACTGGAGTTACCGACAGCTGTGAGCTGCCAGATGCATGCTGGGAACTGAACCTAGGTCTACTGCAAGAGCAGACAGTGATCCTAACTGCTGCACCATCTCTCCAGCCCCTCCATTTATATTTTAAGACACTTTAGGACTGGAGAGGTGGCTCAGTGATTAAGAGCACTTGCTGATCTTGCTGATGACCACGGTTTGGTTCCCAGCGCCCCATGAGGCCTCTCACAACTGTCTGCTCCAATTCCAAGGGATCTGACACCCTCTTATGGCCTCTGTGGGCATTGTATACACATAGTGCACACAGAGAGAAGCAGACACATACATATACATAAATGAAAATAAATAAAACTTAAAAAAATAAAGAAGCTTCTATAGTAATAAATTTCCATATGACTTTCTGAAAAGACCTTTAGTGCTAATTGTCCCTTCCCTTATTCCCTCCTCTGCCATGCCCTCCCATTCCCCACCCTTTTAAGCCCTTCTTATTCCATTCTTCCACTTCTCCTCTTCATGCCACTACATTCTACCTCCCTCCCTCCCTTCCAATGATGCCCCCGACCCCGCCATAGTCCCTTACTATTTTCCTGACCTCTATGGATTTTCCAGTTGAAACATATATACAGATTCACTGCTAGCATCCACTTATGAAAGAACATGCAATGTTTGTCTTTCTGAGTCTGGGTTACTTCACTCAGGATGATTGTTTCCAGTTCTAATCATTTATCTGAAAATTTCGTAGTTTTATTTTTCTTAACAGCTGAATAACATTCCATTGTGTAAATGTACCACAATTTCATTATGCTTTCATAAGTTGATGGACATCTAGATTGTTTCCATTTCCTGATTATTGGGAATTAGGGCAGCAATAAACGTGAGAGAACAGGTATCTCTGAAGTAGGATATGGAGTCCTTTGGGTATATGCCCAGGAGTGGTATGGTTGGATCATGTAGCCAATCTATTTCTAGCTTTTTGAGGAACACTCACACTTATTTCCATAGTGGCTACACCAGTTTGCATTCCCAACAGCAGTGAACAAGTGATCCCCTCTCCCCACATCCTTGCCAACACTTGTCATTGTTTGTTTTTCAGATCTTAGCCATTCTGACTGGGGTAAGATGAAATCTCAAAGTAGTTTTAATTTGAATTTCCTTGATGGTTAAAGGTGTTGAATATTAAAAAATGTTTCTCAACTATTGGCATTTAATCTTTTGAGAATACTGTGTTTAGTTTCTTGCCCCAATTTTTAGTTGTTTTTTTTTTTTAATCATTATTTTTTTATTTTTTTTTTGCCTGAGCAGTTTTTACTCCAAAGCAATTGACATTGAGACGTTTTCACATGCATTTCTAATCTCTATATACATGACTATCACTGGTCACAGTCGCCCACCTTCTGAGCTCCTCGGCATCTGAGCATGAATACAAACTC